TAAAGCATAGTTTGCCAGTAACTTGTCTTGTTGGTTTGTAATGTAATGCCTGTTCAAATGATTTATATTAAAATTACAGTCAATTCTCAATTATCCATGCTAATACAGAGGAGACACACAACTAAGAACCATTTATATTTGACTTTAGAATGTGGAGATTGCACTAAAACTTAATGTTCATAGTCCTCCTGCACATTCACGATGTCTTGATGCTCTTCTGTTTTAGCCCTGTCATCAGCGGCCTGGTGCTTGGCTCTGTGACCTGGTGGAGGAGCCCAGGTTAGCACAGAGTCAAAAGTGAATCAAATGCCTGTACATACTTAAGAACAGGCTGTGCTGTCTTAACTGGCTTCTGAAGTCCCACCATACTGAATTGAAAATATTTCATATTTGCTTTGATAGCTAAAGTATGGCTGTAATAATATTCTAAATGTTAGAAGGCTTCCAGGTAATAAACCTAAAGTTATATGTGTTTTTCATGCAGAAATTGATGTAAATTATTATCCTATAATATGTAACACTTTTGACCATTCTTTTATGCTATAGCAATTAAAACAAAATAATTGTTTATTAATGCTTTTCTTAATTTCATTTAAATTGAAATAGCAGTTACTGCTTACATTATAATAACAGAAATTAACAGTTTACCACTTTATTGAATTATATAAATTTTTAACTGTAGTGTTTAATTTTATATTACCTTATGGAATTCATGAGTTTCTATCTAAGCTTATATATAATTTGTTAATGATAAAATTGAAACCCCTATGAGATTTTCAATGATTCCCTTATTCTGTGATAGTTGCATTTTAGAGTTTATGAGGAGTAGGACCAAGGTCATTCTAATATTTATTAATGATAATCAGTTTAGGATTATTTTTAAAAACACCAAGTATAAAAAGCTTTTTGACCATTAGTATTTTAAGAGATAAAATTTTCAATATGATAAATTACTCTTGGCTGGCTTATATTCTATTTAATTTTTCCAGACCTTTTCTTTCTGAGATGACTTTTAATAAGCATTAGTGTATTCTTATCTCTCCTCTCCTCCTCTTCCCGCCCCTCCCCTCTCCTCCTGTCCTCTCCTTCTTTTCTTTTCCTGAAACAGTCTTGCTCTGTCACCCCTGCTAGAGCTAGAGTACAGTGGCATCATCATAGCTCACAGCAACCTCAAACTCCTGGGCTCAAGTGATTCACCAGCCTCAGTCTCCCAAGTAGCCGGGACCACAGGCGCACCACCATGCCTGGCTAATTTTTCTATTTTCTATAGAGATGGGGTCTCACTCTTGCTCAGGTTGGTCGCAAACTGGCCTCAAGCAATCTCCCACCTTGGGCTCCCAGAATGCTAGTGTATTCTTTCTAACCATTCAATGAACGAAGTTCTCATTGCTTAGTTTTGGAATGATTTATTCCCCCCACTCTTCAAAATTTAAATATTTTTTACATTAAATATCAGGTAAAGAAATACTTAACAAAGAATTATCTAAGAAAAAGTGAACCTCCATTAATATGCAGAAGTATATCATGGTACAAAGTAGGAATTTTATTTGAACACTTAATAGAAAATGGTTTCAAACACACTTAACAGAAAAATGGCCCTCATTAAGAAAAAGTCAATTAAAGGAGCACAAGTTTTGTGGAATTCACTTCAAAAACCAAGAACATTTCCTATATATTAACACTTTTAAAGACCAATCGAGAAAACTTATCTACTGTTAGATTATATGACATTTAGTTTTGTTTTCTAAATGAGTGATAGGATCAGAAAGCCAAAAGATATACTATTGAAAAACTCAACTTTATCTTCATTTCTGTGGTATTTACTTGAAAAAGCTGCTCTTTGAGAACAAAATCATTTTACTGAGATCTACAGAATTGGGGCCATTGTGCCAATCTGCTTTTGCAAATTACAGTTACCACATGATAAGGAGTAATACAGAAATGAGAAGTTCCATCATCACCAAAAAGCATTTATTAAATATGTGGCTGAGTATCTTCATTTCCTGTGTTAGATATTCTCATTCATTTTAATGAGATAAACTATACATTGTAAAAGTCTTAAAGCATGTTACTTAATACAACACTGATAAACTAATACATAAAGTACAAATAAAGGGCAAAATGGACAGCATTAAACCAGTACATGAATGGACCACAAAAGGAAAACAACAAGATTAGTATGTTTTAAGAGAGGAGATTAGAGGACTCACTGTGGGAGTCCTAGGTTCATGTCTCGTGATCCTCTGGGAAATACCATGTAAGGGTTTACGGAGGAGGTTTGTTTTCAGCAATATAGAAGTGAGGTGCTTTGCTTATATTATATTGCTTGTCCTCTGATCAGTACTGAGTAGTAGTACTGTGACCAGAAACCTGAAAAGTAATCTATAGCTCCGAAATCTATAAGGGTTTTTCTATACAAAAGAATCATGTGGGAGTTTGTATAAAACTCAGATTTCTGAAACCCACCCCCTAAAACTCAGCTTCAATACATCTGGGACAGGGCCCAGGAGTCTGTATTTGAGCCAGTACTCTAAGTGGTTATAAGGCAAATGTTCCAAAGTTCGGAGTTTGAGGCTGCCCTGAATTATCCAGAGTTAATACCACATGACATATTTTAAAATATTTTTCCTATGTTTATATATGTCCTTTTTTTACAGATTAATCAGTAAGGGATACCAGTAGATGACATATTTGATGTATTTTTTTCTTATATCTATCCCAGTATGCTCCAGCAAGATAGTATAGTGTATCATTCATTGCGGTACATTACCATCGTGTCTATAAAACAGTCTTAGGCCATAAGTAAGTTTGTCTTTGAGCAGTCTCAGCCACTTCACGTTTTACCCCATATTCA